AGTAACATGTTACATTACTTTGAATGGCACAGCCTCTCTGATAGAAGAAAAGATTCACGATTAATCCTGTAACTTGTGAATCTTTTATTCTATATTTCGTCTGTATTCGATGTTTCGATGTTTCGAATTGTCAAATATAGGAGAACAAGGGGAAAGGCTGTGTAATTTTGATAAAATTTCTGTACGTTTAGCATTGATACAACAAAAGGGTACATCATCCTTAATCACCAAGGGGAATGTGCTGCACAAAAGTTATACAATTGGTGCAATATAGCTTATGATTTTATAAATATTCGTTCGTCAAATTGGATTTCTACATTAATTCTTCATTTTAACTGTTTGCGTTGAAAAGTTCGCTTTTGTTGTGATTCTCGCATTTTGATTGCGTAACCTTCTTTAAGTATATGATAAAACAATGGGGTGTTCAGTTACATATATGGTGTCAGCAAACAAGTGCCCATCACGAGGGAATAGTAATTTCTCCTATGAAGATATGGCCTGCGTCAATCTGTGTAAATCATCGCGTCATTGATATATCCCAGGAAGCTCAATTTCAGATATCTTATTTTAATTTTATCATAACCTGAGTATAAATGCAATGTGTGTGATGATGTCTACTATAAAAGAAAGCTGGTTTCTACAATTTCCTGGTTTATTTATTATTTATTTATTCTGTCTCCTTTTTGTATTAAAGTCATATGAAACTTCAAATTGAAAAAAAAAGTTGAATATGTTTTATATACAGGAATGGCTTTGTTTTACTATAAAACAAGTGTACGTGACATTTCTTGTAAACGAAAATCCTTTGTATTATCAAAATCTTCATAAATGTACTGCTATTGAATTATTGTCTTCCCGTACACTAATTCACCGATATTTTCCCGTATGCAGTGATATTTACTACGAGACCTTTCGTTAGACTTCGGCAACCGCATAACGCAAGTTCGAGGGGAAAACCGTGATGAAAGATTGTAAACAAGCGTGCTCTGGAAGGTAAATAGTAATAACTGATTCTTAAAGAACAAATAAAATACACCAAATCATTTAATAACTCTTAAGGAAAATTTTGATAAACAAATGGGAATGCACGAAAAATATTTTCAAATATGTCAATTCATTTATTTTTTAATGTGTTCAACGTGTTCTGTGTTGATTAATCAATGTCACGATCCGATAAACTTCGGCAACAAACTCGAAAGTTATTTAGCTTGCGATCAACAATCCTGAATGAAATATTATTTGTCGATAATACGTTATATATTCGTAATAAATGTAAAACAAAAGTTTTGGAGTTTAACTTGGTTTCTGTGCTAAAGATAATATTAGGTTTTGTACTTTCAATTATCTTATTGACTAAATGTTTTAATTTACAGGAAGATAATAGTAAACATCCTTAAAGGTTTTTTAAAGGGTGATACCGAGCTTTTATTTACGTATGGAGATAGATGTAAACATAGGTTTGTTGTTTTTATAGACCTTATCACTGTTTGAGAATCTGCGACACTTGACCCGAGAATTTGCGACACGTCGTACAACAATCACTTTTCTTGTGTGTCGTTATACATTTTCCCTTCTTATGACATGCACCTATTACGGGAACGTGTGTTGTGTCCAGCAATGGCGGAAAAATAGCGAATAGGTGTATTTGATAATCTGTACTTGCTGGAGGATTTGTATGATTCATGTCACAAATATTTAGACTTGCAAATAGATTAGTCGAGTCAAGAATATGCATACCAGAAATAACTGTGCTGTAGTTTGGTTTCTAGATGTATAGACCTGTTACACGCATTTATGATTAATTAATGATGTTTAAATGCTACAGGTATCAATATGTTATATTTAGATGCAGTTCAAAGAATGTTTGACGCATACAATTTGTAAAAAATCCGAATACCGCCCAATTACATACACATCGCCTAAAAAAACATTTCGTTTGGTTCAAAAGAAGTATTGATAATCATACTGTTGCTGTTCATTCATTCTGTCTTTTATTTTTAAAAATTAAAGTTAATCCGATAATTTTACGTTTTAAGACAAGACTAATAGTTTCTTTTATTATTTGAGTGTAATTTCAATCCGTGTAGAAGGTTTGCAAGAAACAAATTCTTCTTCAGTCACTGCATTAACAAAACTCCCTTCTAACTGTGTAAAATTCAGAACAGTAAATACACACATGGAAAGTAGACCATAATTCATTTTCTTAGAAAACAATAAAATCACATGCAAAAATCTTTATTGATGTACAAATATTAAATGTATTTTCAATTGTAAAAATCATATAGTGATTGTCATAATATAAAAGAAATCATTTATAAAAAAACAAACTTTTGTCAAAGCGTTTTGCATTGAAAAAGCACTTTACTTAAAAAACAAAACAAATACAAAAACAACAATAACAAATGTGTGTCATATTATCGTCGTGTGAGTGTTATTATGATATAATTCACATCTTTCTAAATGTTGTGACATTAAATATGAACTTTAAAAGAGCAACATCATAAATATGTGACGGAGATATAAAAGGTTATGCAGAAATCGTATTTATGGACTTGAGGAGCAACAATTTGTTCATTGCTTTTTTCAAATAACCAAGTAATCTGAATAAAGAAAGAACATCCATTTTCTGTGTTTCTAGTAGCATGCTTGCTTTTTTTTAATCTCTAAAATCCCAAATTCTGTAATGCTTGATTTACTAAAAAATACTCATCAATTGAGTTCAAATCATTAAAAACAAATAAACATGATAAAGGTTTGTTGCATATAAGGCCCTTGAAGCTATTGAATTGGACCAATAGTAAAGTTAAAGTCATCATTTAGGTCGATACCACTGCTGGTGGGGATTTCCTCCCCGAAATTATCATCAGCCCAGTAATCAGCACCTTTGTGTTGACACGAAACGTCATTGTCATATTTGTAAATTAACTGTCTACATAACTTTGAACTGTTCGAAATACTAAGGAGTTTCTACACTATGAATAGATCACTGATGAGTCTAATACGGACGACACACGCGTCTTGAGTACACAAATATAAGCCTGGTATCTTTGATGATTGTTTAATACGGACGACACACGCGTCTGGTGTACACAAATATAAGCCTGATATCTATGATGATTGTTTAATACGGACGACACACGTGTCTGGTGTACACAAATATAAGCCTGGTATCTTTGATGATTGTTTAATACGGACGACACACGCGCCTGGCGTACACAAATATAAGCCTGATATCTATGATGATTGTTTAATACGGACGACACACGCGTCTGGTGTACACAAATATAAGCCTGGTATCTTTGATGATTGTTTAATACGGACGACACACGTGTCTGGTGTACACAAATATAAGTCTGATATCTTTGATGATTGTTTAATACGGACGACACACGTGTCTGGAGTACACAAATATAAGTCTGATATCTTTGATGATTGTTTAATACGGACGACACACGCGTCTGGAGTACACAAATATAAGCCTGGTATCTTTGATGATTGTTTAATACGGACGACACACGTGTCTGGAGTACACAAATATAAGTCTGATATCTTTGATGATTGTTTAATACGGACGACACACGTGTCTGGCGTACACAAATATAAGCCTGGTATCTTTGATGATTGTTTAATACGGACGACACACGTGTCTGGTGTACACAAATATAAGCCTGGTATCTTTGATGATTGTTTAATACGGACGACACACGTGTCTGGTGTACACAAATATAAGTCTGATATCTTTGATGATTGTTTAATACGGACGACACACGTGTCTGGTGTACACAAATATAAGCCTGGTATCTTTGATGATTGTTTAATACGGACGACACACGTGTCTGGTGTACACAAATATAAGCCTGATATCTTTGATGATTGTTTAATACGGATGACACACGTGTCTGGTGTACACAAATATAAGCCTGGTATCTTTGATGATTGTTTAATACGGACGACACACGTGTCTGGTGTACACAAATATAAGCCTGGTATCTTTGATGATTGTTTAATACGGATGACACACGTGTCTGGTGTACACAAATATAAGCCTGGTTTCTTTGATGATTGTTTAATACGGACGACACACGTGTCTGGTGTACACAAATATAAGCCTGATATCTTTGATGATTGTTTAATACGGACGACACACGTGTCTGGTGTACACAAATATAAGCCTGGTATCTTTGATGATTGTTTAATACGGACGACACACGCGTCTGGTGTACACAAATATAAGCCTGGTTTCTTTGATGATTGTTTAATACGGACGACACACGTGTCTGGTGTAAACAAATATAAGCCTGGTATCTTTGATGATTGTTTAATACGGACGACACACGTGTCTGGTTTACACAAATATAAGCCTGGTATCTTTGATGATTGTTTAATACGGATGACACACGTGCCTGGTGTACACAAATATAAGCCTGATATCTTTGATGATTGTTTAATACGGATGACACACGTGTCTGGAGTACACAAATATAAGCCTGGTATCTTTGATGATTGTTTAATACGGATGACACACGTGTCTGGAGTACACAAATATAAGCCTGATATCTTTGATGATTGTTTAATACGGACGACACACGTGTCTGGAGTACACAAATATAAGCCTGGTATCTTTGATGATTGTTTAATACGGGCGACACACGTGTCTGGTGTACACAAATATAAGCCTGATATCTTTGATGATTGTTTTAACGTTTTACGGACGCCTTCACGGTTTGGTTAACCGTCATGGAATAACTTAGTCACAGATAACCCCGGACATATTCCAAATGTTGTAGCGCCAACCCCATCCTCTTTATCATCGATTGTGGCATCACCAAATGAGATTTATCACAGAAATTGTTCTTGTCATGAGAAACAGATTTTAATTAGTATAAAAATGATATATCTCTTTGGCAACGGAATTACTGTGGCTTTATGCCTAGTCGCAATGAATTGTTTAGTTCATTTTATAAAGGTATGGAACTATGTTCACGCAACTGCAATTGAACTATTGCGATTGCGTCAGGAAAATTTGACAGAAGACGGTTTGGACTCTTCTCTTGAGGCTCAGGTAATTTTTGTGTGACCAAATGTTTAATGTTTGATCCGGATAATATCGTGTTTTCAATGTGTAAAATTCTGGTATGATATATACCGCTGTACCGGAACGTCCGCAATTTCAAATTTTTCAATACATTAAGTGACGTTATTTAATGTGTATTTGATCAATTATGTCTCGTATGGTGATGAAATAAATCAGCAGTTACAACAAATGACGTGAATTCGTTGTGTAGAAATCCTCACAAAAACGTTAGGGTTGGTGCTCAAATAAGACTCGGTTTGGAAACTCTTAACACATACCAATTTAACAATAAGATTCATAAACAAAAAATCGACACTTTTATACCTCTTGATTACAAATTCTTTAATGTCGTATTAAAGAAAAGTTTCTATGGAATTGAATGAATGTAAAGGAACAAAAATCAATTATTACATGTTTAAAGTAAAACCATTTCATTCAATTCTATCACAAATGATTGATCACGTGTTTCTAGCGACTGCCCTGAGCGTATACGATACAGGACTGTGAAGAATTCCGACCAATCCTTCGATCACAGGTGGATTCTCTCCAACTGGGGGAAGCAGATCAAATCTTTGAACAAGGCCTGTTAAATAGAGAAAGAGTTCCATCCTAGCTAGGGACTCACCAAGGCATTTCCTCTGTCCTAAAATAACATTGCGATTTTAATTAATTTTAATGCAGATTAAAATGTGTTCATTCAGATTTTTAAACTACATTTTAATAGTTGGCCTTTATTACTCTTGTTTAAAGTTAAAACTCGATTGTTGTCTTTCTTAAACAAACCTCAGAGTACTGCAAATGTAGATAAACAGTTTTCTGTGTGGTTACTTGTGTAATCAATCAAATAATATATTAATAAATCATTGTCAAAATATGTTTAAAGAATATAAATAAATCTGGAAGTAGATGCAAGAAAAAATTTTAAAAAAATACTGAAAAAGCAATGTAGTGTGGGTGATATTGTGCAATTAACCAGATTCTGTTTGAGCCTTTCCCAAGTCAAGAGCCTGTAATTCAATGGATGTCGTTTGTTGCTGTATATCATATTTGTTTTTCGAGGTATGTTTTGATAAGGGACTTTCCGTTTTGAATTTTCCTTGGAGTTCGGTATTTTTGTGTTATTTCACTTTTTTTTTACATAAATCATTATATTTCCGCCAATGTGTTATAACTCTAATCATTGTGTTACTGTGCTGTGGTAAATCTTTGTATTCTTGTCTTTCATTTTTGCCTATGTGTTTTATCTTTATGCCATTTTGTTTTTCTTTGTTGACATATTTGTTTGTTTTTATAGTGATTAAGATTACAACACATTGTTGACTGCTGTACCCCTTTTTTTGACATTTTTACCTTTTATTTCTGTTTGTTTTGTTCACACATTGTTGTCGATATAATGGAATTTTATGCGACTTTCATACAAATGAGAGGTTTAGCTAGATATAGAACCAGGTTTAATCCACCATGTTCTACATAAGGAAATGCCTGTACCAAGTCAGGAATATGACAGTTGGTTTCCATTCGTTTGATGTGTTTGAACTTTTGGTTTTGCCATTTGATAAGGGACTTTCCGATTTGTTCGGTATTTTTGTTATTTTACTTTTCATAGTACCTATAATTGCTAACTTCTATAAGTCATTTGATCTATGGTGGAGAGTTGTCGCATTGGCAATCATACCATATCTTCTCATTTTTATATAACTCGTAATAATGTCAATGTTTATTTGTTATTGTTATTTGAGACAATACACATTTTTGTAGAATACAATTGTGACTGAAACAATTCTATTCTGAAAATTGAAAAGTTGTACTTAAATCATTACCCAAGGAGAAAGCAATGACCTTTTCTACTCCAACCAATCGTCCTTTAGCATCGATGAAACGTTCTGGTAAAAATTCGTTGCAGTTTTGAAAATCGTCTTCGTTTATCAAAATCGAGTCAAGACTTGCCATAATTATAGATTTTTTTGGAAATCTGTAATCTTTAAATGAAAAATCATCCTTTGCATAATAAGGTGAACCGAACGGAACAATGTTTCCTAATCTTAAAACCTCATGAACAACAGCATCACAATACGGCATGTCCTTTTTGTCAGAGAGTTGCGGTAATCGACTATTTCCAACTACCTGTTCAATCTCTTTTCTCATTTTACATTGAACATTAACGTTATTTAATAAGAACATCACGGCCCATTTTATTGCTGTTGATACTGTTTCTGTCCCGGCTGCAAAGAAGTCCCCTATGAGCCATACTAACTGATTCTCTGCAATAAGCAAGAAAGTTATATCTGTCAACTTCTAATATAGCATTTGTAATGAGGGTCTGTCAAATCAAAATTGTGATAGAGTGGAAGTTTAAAAGTATTTTCGATTTTTGTACATCTTTAATCATATCTTACAACTCATATTTTAATAACTAAGGCTTGGGCCAGATTACAGTGGACCATACATCAATCCAACATTATATGATGTATAATCGACAAATATTATTTGTCATCGGACTCTGTTTTTTTGGAATTAGGGCAGGAGAAATTGCGTACCCTTCCGGACCACTTCTCACTCTTTAGTATAGTTTTCTAATGATGTGGTTTTATTGTGTACTTTTCCGTCTTTGTTTTTCTTTTGACCATGATGTAGTCTATCTTTCGACTTACAATGTTTGACTTTTAGTATAAAAGTAAGAAGATTGGGTGTGATTCCCTGTGAGACAATTATCCACAAAAGACCAAAGGAAGAGGGTGTAAAACAGCTACAGGGCACTGTACGGCCTTCAACAATAAAACAGCTACAGGGCACTGTACAGCCTTCATCAATAAAACAGCTACAGGGCACTGTACGGCCTTCAGCAATAAGACAGCTACAGGGCACTGTACGGCCTTCAGCAATAAAACAGCTACAGAGCACTGTACGGCCTTCAGCAATAAAACAGCTACAGGGCACTGTACGGCCTTCAGCAATAAAACAGCTACAGGGACCTGTACGGCCTTCAGCAGTAAAACAGCTACAGCGCACTGTACGGCCTTCGGCAATAAAACAACTAGAGGGCACTGTACGGCCTTCAGCAATAAAACAGCTATAGGGCACTGTACGGCTATCAGCAATTAAACAGCTACAGGGCACTGTACGGCCTTCAGCAATAAAACAGCTACAGGGCACTATATGGCCTTCAGCAATAAAACAGCTACAGGGCACTGTACGGCCTTCAGCAATAAAACAGTTACATGGCACCGTACGGCCTTCAGCAATAAAACAGCAACAGGGCACTGTACGGCCTTCATCAATAAAACAGTTACAGGGCACTGTACGGCCTTTCAGCAATACACAAAACCCATAGATAACGTATTGTAATCTACAAGTTTTAGCTTTCTTAAAAGCTTTGGAGTGACTTGCTGTATCATACTTTTAAGTAAGATGTGGTTTATGTGGTTGTTAAAGTATGGGGAAAGGTGTTATTCATCTCCTTTGTGCATATACTCATAAGTGTGGTATCAAAAGCCCGTCTCCCGTCTGAGATGGGATGTATTATTGTTTTTGTATTTGTCCATGAACACTTTCTACAAAAACTCAAATTTGCTTTAACAAAATTTATTCCCACAAACTTTTAACAAAAGATTAGGATTGATAGAAGAAAGCGTCCTTTCAATTTTGAATTCTTTGGTAGGATCATTAGAAATGTGGTTTGATTTTGAACATTTATGATTTGTCATTCCACCTTTATGAGACTTTGACGGTCAGATTAATAAACTGAGGTAATATTTTACATACCATGCATTAGATCTAGTATGCTTTGAGCAATTTACTACAACATTTATACTGTTCTTGGTGTTGGTGAATCTAGACTTGCTGTGAATTTTGAATTTTTTTTTGGTTTGTTGTTCAGAGTTATGGGACTGTTAACAGGCATTTATTTGCATATAGATATTCTCATTAAAATTTTCCTACACGTCCATTTTTGTAAATAGTTATAAGATGCCTCCTTATTAAATATTCTAGATTATTCTAACAAAAATTCTAATGCACAATTCGGGGGTATCGTATGCTCATTGCGTAGCTGTTTTTTTTATATCAATATATCATTCATTTTGGCTTTATCAAATGGTAACATGTATTCTGACAACATTCTTGAAGATTATTGGCAGTAATATACATTTTCAGATTGATTGATTGATTGTTGGTTGCTTAACGTCCAGTGGCAAATATTCCATGCATATTCAGGACGAGAACAAGTTCACAATAAATACAATAGGTAGGTTCTGTAATAGAGGCGTCCGGGATTAAGGTCGGAGAAATTTAGACTGCCACGGGAAATGAGGGTATATTAGATAGGGACAGAAATTTAGCCTTGCAACAGGTCACCTACGGACCCCTCAAAGAGTTGTTGCAAGGGTTCTTAACGTGCAAAGAGCGTGGTACTCTCTTTACACGAGGCATCGGATTTAACGTCCCCATTCTGACCGGACGTGGCTGCAAATTTGTACATCCCGTACAGCCAAACGGACGCCCCACTTTAGCACGGGTTTTACTGCCGGTCAGAGGAAGACCAATGGTGACCATACTTCTATTCCCCAGTCACCCTTGGGGGTGCATTTTCAGTGTTTGTGCATATGCATATATAACATAATCAGATGAGCACTCAGGAAAGTGTTCATCTTTGCCCCTCGTCTGATTTATCTTATCTAATTTGATGTGACATCATATACATGTTTTATAGTAAGATAAACGAGTAAAGGCAAAATAATTCATTGATCGGGTTTCGGATCTTGAATACGCATACTGTAATTTTTACGCATTTAATATCTTCTCCAGTGCGGGTATTATTCCAAATTCTATATCTCATTCTAGCCAATAGAATCTTTTCCATATCATAAGGCAACCAATGAGAACCGATATTTGTTACGTAATAATTTCAAGATGGCGTGAATATCTTATGAAACTAATAGCTTCGTACCGTGATGCAAAGCAACGTGATGCGAAATAAAAAGTCACCGGCATGACAAAAAAACAACGGTCTTATATATGATAAAAACATCAAACGAAAAATAAATAAGACAAACAGCTACTACAGACAACGACTGAATTACAGGCTTTTAACTTGGTACAGACACTGAACAGAGTGTGGTGGATTATACATGCTTGAGAGCGTTTGTTCTTCTACTAGTTCTGTATATGTATATTGGGTTTGTCAGGTTGTCAGGTGATTACCTTTTTGGCAATGTTATTTTATTTTAGGTATTATACTCAAGTACATGTAAACAACTTTTCTGTGAGTCTGTTGTATTAATATTACCATAACAGCATTCCCGATAAAAACAGTTCAGTGTGAATATAAACACCCCGTATCATAAACCTTCCACGATTCTAAAACTATATTTTGTAAATTTAACTGGTCCGGTGTGTGCCCATATAAACCTCTGTTTAAACAGAGCATAAGTAGGGAAAACCATTGCATGTAAATATGGCGATGATGTATGAGAAAATTCATTCCTCGAAACTGTAAGTACATAATGCAGCGTTACCTTCGCTCTTTGATGACAGGTCCCCAGTTCGCCATAACGGTATACAGTAAAAACAGGAAGTATTATAAAACAGAGTCAAACTTGGTTTGTGAAAACTATCAAGTGTACTTTATGTCCGTACACTAAAATGATAATATTGGTTGAATATCCATTGTTCAGACTATTGCTAACTTATCACAACGTTTTATAAATATTTCTCAGAATGCATTAAATATTGAAACGGTGAAGATGTAAGATAATGAATAGGGAATTTTAACATTCATATTCATGTAAGTAACATAGCACGGAATATGTTACCAGTTTGTTTACCTACTAGAACCAAATTGGCAATCTGAAATATTTAAGAATAGGGGTTAAAAAGGGTATATTTTCCCCTCTTGTCCTTTTAAAACGATCTGAAAAATGAAAAGGGAGGACTAACGATTTTCAGGAGATATAATTAAAACACGCAATTTATTCACGTGAAAGTTTGTCATATGATATCAATTCATCTTTAAAATTGAGAATGGAAATGGGGAATGTGTCAAAGAGACAACAACCCGACCATAGAGCAGACAACAGCCGAAGGCCACCAATGGGTCTTCAATGCAGCGAGAAACTCCCGCACCCGGAGGCGTCCCTCAGCTGGCCCCTAAACAAATATGTATACTAGTTCAGTGATAATGGACGTCATACTAAACTCCAAATTTAATTGTTAAGTACCTGTAAAAATAGTGTCTTTTTCATGTTTATGAAGTGCTATTTCTTTCAGGAAGGCATCAGAAAAATCCCGAATATCGTCTTCGTCGTAGGTTGCTTTGTGTTCTTGCACTTCGTCTTTAAATAATTGGACATTTTTACCCACGGTCTTTGCAATTTTTTTTACTCTAAAAGCATCACCAGGTATCTTTGCAAGTAAAGGTATAAAATTCACTGGCCCCGAAAAAGCTGCGTCTTTAAAGGTTTCTTGCTGTAGACCAATAAAGTATTTGAACCTAGGATCATTATAATCAAATCTATGGCCAACAACTATTGACATTACATTGTTAGAAACACTAATATTTACTGTCTCTAAAAAGTCAAAAGGTTTTCCATTAAAATCTTCTATGTACTTTAAAAATATCTCAATTTCTTCCACTACTTTTGGTTCATAGCTACGTTTTCCAAATCCAAAGTCTCTTAGTTTTGAAAGAGCAAATTTTCGCTGCTGTTTCCATGATGATCCATTTGCTGTAGAAACGCCTGAAGTGAAATAAAAAGACCATTAAGAAGTTATATTGTCGGCATATAGTACAAGAAAAACATAATTCAATCCAAACAGTATACGTAAAAGAGGGACGAAAGATACCAGAGGGACAGTCAAACTCATAGATCGATCACAAACTGACAACGCCATGGCCAAAAATAAAACAGACAAACAGACAAATAATAATACAGATGACACAACATAGAAAACTAAAGACTAAGCAACACGAACCCCACCAAAAACTGGGGGTGATCTCAGGTGCTCCGGAATGGTAAGCAGATCCTGCTCCACATGTGGCACCCGTCGTGTTGCTTATGTTATTACAAATCCGGTAATAGTCTAATTCGGTAGGTCAAATTCGTGAAAAGGGAAGGGTATTGTAGTTACGACATAAGGCACATATCCGATATCATCTGTGAAACGGTTATTCCATAACGATCAACCAACTCGTGATGGCGTCCGTAAAATTTACGAAGGGATGATTTCAACTTCACCATTTGGAACTCTTGGTTTAATAGCTTCCTTGTGAGCATCAATCCTCTATCAAGGAAATCATGATAGGAAATACAAGCCCGGGAATATCGTAGCAATTGGGAGATTAAACTCCGTATGCAGGCGCTGCTGGAATGTTGCTACATAGAAATGGAAAGTTCACAATTGGGAAGTTGAAATCATCTCTTTTGTCATCATTAGTTCGACTTGATAGGCAAAACATGACATACAAAATGATTTTATTTCGTCTTATAAAAATATAGCTTTTGAAATTTTGGTCTAGAGCATACTTTAAGTTGATATCTTATTTATTGATAAAGGTTTTTCTATCAATAACATGTTGTTAAAAACCATTGCGTCTGGTATTTTTTTAGGGGTGGGCAAAAATTCGCCTATTTATATTTTTAAGACGATCATGTTTCTTTTATGAGTAAAGGTAGATAGATGTAGGGCATACCTCAATCAGACAGCAACCAAAACGACAAACAATAACACAAAATATTTTAAAAAAAATTTCTGCATTTAAATTTTGTACAAATTTATTAACACAATGCACACAATTGTGTCCTTTTGAACTACAAAACCCTTTCTAAATGAAATATGGTGCGAAGTACAGTCACCGATATTACATTTTAGGACGACGTGTTTCATATCAGCAAGTTAAGGATGTTTGGTACTCTAGGTTTTGACGTTTTGTCAGATATTCGGAATCCTCTAGTTTTATCCAATGTAGTATCAATAAAAATTTTGCCCACTAACCCTAAGCTTACTTTTCTTTTTCATAGTTTTTGAAAGTAAAAAGGTGCCAAAGTTAAATGCATGAAAAATATAGAGAGAATCATTTCCCGCCAAATTTTCAGTTGATTAAATCTTAAAAACAAGGACACGACTCTGTCATTTTTTTTATAAACTATCAATTTATAATAGTCTTTTAAAAAACATACTATTTTGAAACAGAGGAGCGAACATCCTTAAGTACTCTGAACTTACTTTCAGTAACTGCAATTATTCTCTGATACAAAGATATTTTTTATATATATTATTACTGTAATTGTAATTGTGCTAATGATATGTAATGTGATTTAAGAAAACAAAAACATCATAGAAATCATATCAGTACCGAAAAGTCTTCTCGATTGTCATTTCACTATGTGAAATTCTTAATAAAGGTTTCAAATGACAACGAACACTGTCAGAATTTCGTTATATTATTATGTTCTAGTTGATATATTTCTTTGGTTTATTCAGGAAAATGTGGACAGCTTATAGAAAATATATCGTCTTGATTTTCACAAATATCACCAAAATCAAGTAGTTTTATAAATTTATCAATTTAAACCTATATTCATAACTGGAAAAAAAAATATCAGCTGTGAGGTAATGTTTTGTTTTATAATCACGTTTAAACTTCATGGACTTTAATACTTCGCGCAAGTATTCAGCAAACAAAATATATGTATTGAACTTTTTATGCTTTTTGTAGATACCTTTATTTAATACTGAATAATGTGAATTGTATTTTCGACTTCAATAATCATAAATCTATCGAACAAAGTCTTTTGATTTCGTAGGTTAGGTTGTAAGTCTTTTTTATTAATCGACATTCCTGCAAGTTACATAATTTTTCATTTACAACTATCATTCTTCTTTTTTTTCAAGCTTTCCCCCAATTTTCCTTAAGAGGGAATATGAGACCATAGTTAATATCAGCTGTATCTAAGGGTGGCACAAGAATAAATATAAACTTTTAATACTCAAATCACGAGGTTATCGACAATAGAATTGATATAACCAACTGTGTATAGCTATGATGTTTATATTTCATACATATAGAAATAAGAAGATGTGGTATGATTGCCGATGAGACAACTCTCTACCAGAGACCAAATGAAATAGAAGTTTAAAACTATAGGTCACTGTACGGCCTTCAATAATGAGCAAAACCCATACTGCATAGTCAGCTATAAAAGGCCCCGAATTGACATATGTAAAACATCTCAAACGAGAAAACTAACGGCATGAAAAAACTCGAACCTATAGCTGTTCACTCGATCCCTGCGCAATAATCATATCATAATATTCATCCATATTTGTGTTATTGCTTTTATAGTATGTTATGTCTAAATAAATGTGAAACAGATATCTTAATAACCGATTCACTTTCATTTTTCAAATACTGGAACCTACGAAGTCATATCAAAGAATGAACGATATGCATGCATAAATGTAAGATGTACATTTATATTTTTGTAGTTGAATTAAAAACAATATAATTCAATACATTATATTTGAAGCAAAATATTGAAATAAAAACAAATTAGACAAAATAGCAAAAGTATTGTTTCTGGATGTCTTACCAGGATTGTCAATTAAAGTATTGATGAAAAGAGGCGGTCTGTCAGACAAGAAATCGCCTTTTGAAAGTAATAAATCCTTAATATTGTCAGCTCCATTGACAACGATTACCCAGAAGGTTCCTATCGACATAGTGAACATATCTCCGTATTGTATTCGAAGTTTGCGGAAAACGTTCAGAATGTTAGGATCACCGGAGAATTGGTTTAAATTTCCAATTAAAGGCAAAGGTGTCGGTCCCGGAGGAAAATCCTTAGGTCGTCTTGACCTAATCCATAGCCAGACGAAAAGGCATGCAGAAATAGCAATTAATACGCCGAAAACCGAAACATCTGGTAAATACACCATTTTGTATATCTCTTTTCGAATCAAACATGTAAGGGTTATAATGACATGTCTGTTATTAGTTTAAGGTAGTAGGATTACCAGGTATTTAAATTGTTTGGTTTCATATTGAATTACATACGGTACCGGGTGAGTGATTGTTTCAAGAATTCAATCACAAGTAGGTTATGCAATATGTGATCATAGGTAGGCTATTTACCTTTATTTACCTATGTGCACTTTTTATCAATACAGAATATGTTTGTTTTTCATATATTTTAATCAGATTATTTGTTTCTGTGAATCTTATACATACATATATCATCAGTTTTTGAAAGAATGGTTGTCTCTACGATATAAATTTATTGTTAATTTTGAGCAGTTTATATAGTTAGTAATTTTGTATATGAATACGTTTTTAAAAGAAGTGCTAGTTTTGGATGTTATAAGGTATAACAAGTATGTTAGAAGAGGTTTTAGATACTAAGGTACTTTAAAATAGTTAATTAAAAAAGAGGAGAAGTGGAGTAATCAGAGTTAGAGGTAGTTTATATTATCAGCCATTAACAGTTTAACAGATAATTAGATTTGTAAGAATTTGGTATCATAAGTCGTTATAAGTCATGCATTGCTAGATACAAAGAGATTTGTTAGGACATTATTCTGTTTATTTTTTTAAGATAGAACGTTAACCCATATCTACCCTTTAATTCTAATAATACATTGTCGATTGAATAACACCCATTTTGCCTATACAAATATTGTAACATTTCATATTACTGTAATGATATGAATATTTGTTTGACGTTGCCATTAAAGCGGGAGGTTTGGCATGCCACAAAACCAGGTTCAACCCACCATTCTTTTCTTAAAATGTCCTGTACCAAGTCAGGAAAATGGCCATTGTTATATTATAGTTCGTTTCTGTGTGTGGTACATTTTAATGTTGTGTTTTTGTTGTGTCGTTGTTCTCCTCTTATATTTGATGCGTTTCCCTCAGTTTTAGTTTGTAACCCGGATTTGTTTTTATCTCCATCGATTTATGAGTTTCGAACAGCGGTATACTACTGTTGCCTTTATTTGATATGCATTTAATGTTGTTAAAATGTAAATGTTAAGCAGTTAGAATAAATCAACGACATACATCTCTGACGCCTTTTAGCAAAAGTTGGAATTCTAACAAAAAAAAAAACAACATTTCGTTAACATGGGAACGAAATCGAACTATTTATTTTTAACTTATTAAAGAAAGAATAATAATCAGATATAATAAAAGAGTTACCACAAATTATAAGTTAAAAATGAACAGTCAAAATGTTTTTGAATAACACTAAAAAAAGTCATATCCTAAATATACATACAAAACTTGTGAATTGAAAGTTTACATTTGAAAGTATAGTTTGCTACAATGGCATTGTCTGTCTTTATCCGACTTTATGTCGTCAACTAAAGACAAGAATTTATACAACATGCCAAACTATTAATTACCATTATTTGAAGAAAAAGTAAAGTTTACTCCATATTGTGTGCTGGCAGCTATTGATGAATCTAAACGGAATACTATCATGACAGCATATTTGAATGATAAAACTGTTTTCAGGACACAGATACTCTGATTTGTCTTCAGGATTGATCCATTCAAGTTATCATCTATTACCCTTAATCTTGTAAAAATGTTGAATATATTTATCAACAGCCTTACTGTGACTAGGAGATAAATACAAATGTTGTTCCGTAGCTTTTGGTTTTTATGCGCTCGTTGTAGTTGTGTGTGATGAATTAACCATATTCATTCTTTTTCACTACACAAATACGTCGCACTAATATCGTATTTACTTCTTGTTTCTTTGTTGTTAACAAAAAAGAAACCACTACTTTAAATAGGCTCAGTAAGCAGGTTCTGTTTGATCCTTGTTTTGTATCCATTACATATGTTAAATTAATTATATAATCACTTCTATATCCAATACCAGGTATCTTTGCAAGTAAAGGTATTAGTCGTTATAAGTCATGCATTGCTAAATACAAAGAGATTTGTTAGGGCATCATTCTGTTTATTTTTTAAGATAGAACGTTAACCCATATCTACCCTTTAATTCTTATAATACATTGTCGATTGAATAACACCCATTTTGCCTATACAAATATTGTAACATTTCATATTACTGTAATGATATGAATATTTGTTTGACGTTGCCATTAAAGCGGGAGGTTTGGCATGCCACAAAACCAGGTTCAACCCACCATTCTTTTCTTAAAATGTCCTGTACCAAGTCAGGAAAATGGCCATTGTTATATTATAGTTCGTTTCTGTGTGTGTTACATTTTAATGTTGTGTTTTTGTTGTGTCGTTGTTGTTCTCTTATATTTGATGCGTTTCCCTCAGTTTTAGTTTGTAACCCGGATTTATTTTTATCTCTATCGATTTATGAGTTTCGAACAGCGGTATACTACTGTTGCCTTTATTTGATATGCATTTAATGTTGTTAAAATGTAAATGTTAAGCAGTTAGAATAAATCAACGACATACATCTCTGACGCCTTTTAGCAAAAGTTGGAATTCTAACCAAAAAAAAAACAACATTTCGTTAACATGGGAACGAAATCGAACTATTTATTTTTAACTAATTAAAGAAAGAATAATAATCAGATATAATAAAAGAGTTACCACAAATTATAAGTTAAAAATGAACAGTCAAAATGTATTTGAATAATACTAAAAAAAGTCATATCCTAAATATACATACAAAACTTGTGATTTGAAAGTTTACATTTGAAAGTATAGTTTGCTACAATGGCATTGTCTGTCTTAACCGACTTTATGCCGTCAACTAAAGACAAGAACTTATACAACATGCCAAACTATTAATTACCATTATTTGAAGAAAAAGTAAAGTTTACTCCATATTGTGTGCTGGCAGCTATTGATGAATCTAAACGGAATACTATCATGACAGCATATTTGAATGATAAAACTGTTTTCAGGACACAGATACTCTGATTTGTCTTCAGGATTGATCCATTCAAGTTATCATCTATTACCCTTAATCTTGTAAAAATGTTGAATATATTTATCAACAGCCTTACTGTGACTAGGAGATAAATACAAATGTTGTTCCGTAGCTTTTGGTTTTTATGCGCTCGTTGTAGTTGTGTGTGATGAATTAACCATATTCATTCTTTTTCACTACACAAATACGTCGCACTAATATCGTATTTACTTCTTGTTTCTTTGTTGTTAACAAAAAAGAAACCACTACTTTAAATAGGCTCAGTAAACAGGTTCTGTTTGATCCTTTTTTTGTATCCATTACATATGTTAAATTAATTATATAATCACTTCTATATCCTATACACACCGGTATAATATCACCCATTAGTTTCAAAGCAGATGTTAAATGAAATTTGGATTCCAAGCCGTAGTTGTCATCTGAATCATTCACACTTCTCATGAGTAAAATTCACATGCACAACGTGCACTTTCGTTGTGATGAGGAGTCAAATTGTTCTTTCTGAGCACCAGTCAAATATAATCCTGCCTATTTCCAACAACACTTACACATAAATGTTTAATTCAGATACAAAATTGTACTTGATATAACTCTATTACATATTTACAGGACACAATTTAGATGATCAAATCACTTGGCCATCATTCATATGACCATGCAAGTACATATTTTGTACTTGACTACCTTATTTTGTTTACAGTTCGAAGATTTCTTACATACATGTAGATTATAAAATGTGACAAAATCTTATCAACGACGACAACAGCACATTTCGTCTACATAAGACTCATCAGTCGGACTGGAACTATAACAAAAAAAATCCCAAATCAATTGAGAAGTAAGAAACGAAGGTTTCAACTAAGATACCGCTGGTGGTCGTTGGCGTATCATCAGTTTGGCAGTCTGTTATTCGGTACTGACAAGGTCTTACATACTTATTTAAAAATACACTGTTGATAAATTAAGAACTTATAAGAAACTAAGGTTCCAAATGCCTCAGTCAAAGTTGACTTTAGATGAACTTTGCTACCCTTTTTCCGTCTAATTTGGTCATATAGCGTATAACGGTTCTACGTAGAAACACATCCCTGGCTTCCAAATGTTTAGGACTGAGCGTTCTGCATAAAGGTAAATACAGAAAAGCCCTTCAAACGCACAAAATTTATTGAGACTTTTTAAGTGTTATTTTCATTGGAAGAACATTACACTACATCCTTTGGATGAGGTGATTGTTATTTAGTCTGGCGAAAATGTCTATCTATTAGTTGAAATTGAACTTTAAATTAACTTTTTGTTATTACGAGTCGATTGGTACTTTGTGACTTTTATCATTTTGTTGCCTGTTTTGTTTTGTTATAGTTTATTATAGTGTTGACAAGGATAATATATAAATATAAAGATAAGGAGATGTAAAAATACAACATAGGAAACAACAGTCTATCATGAGAGAAAAGGAAACATGTTTAACAAGGAAGCCTGACTTTTCATATCAAAATTAAGAAAACACAAATGGCAAACAACAACCAGCTCTTGATTGTAGGGCTCTGGTCTTGGACAGACACACAAGTTAACAGATTACAATTAAAAACTTCGACAAAAAGACTAACATTTCGACGTATTTGGACATGATCTCAAATGTTTAGGTATCAACGGTCCTTATAAATGTAAATCCAGAAAAGCGATTCAGACTCATGAAATTTATCATGCGTTGTTTTTGTGTTGAACAATTAAATGTATGTATACGGTCTTCAAATAGGAGCAACACAATATTTATAAGCAAACTATAAAATGCTCTCGACTGACAAACATTTTAATAATGAAATTAGTCAGAAGAGTAACTAAGTGCATTGTTAACTACTACAACAAAACAAACACTTTCGACAAACGGCAACCAACGCCAACTCATTTTATTACAGGTTCTTGGTTTGGGATGTGCACATAAATAACACTTCAACCTGCTCAGAGTCTGAAAAGACCAGTTTTTGTGCTCGACCAGTAAAGTCGAGCACAGATTTTACTCGACTTGTCTCGACAGTACTTAACTGTACTCGACTTTTGTCTCGACTTTA